GCGAGCGGGGCCTGCGCGCTGGTACAGAACGTTCTCCTGCGAGCACCCACAGGAAAACCAACCAGCAGCCCTGAACGGGGCTCTTTGTTCAACTTTTTTTTTTAATTTTCCCTCCTCTCCCCGCATCAACTTTCTTGCAGCTGACAGGCTCGCCTCCCCCTGCTGCTCCGCTCCCAGCTGCAGCCTCCAAATAGCCCCTGAGCAGCTCACCCAGCCCCCGGCCATGCTCCAGAGACCCCCAGGGTGAGGGGGAATGGTGCTCCAAGCCCCCAGGAGGAACAGTTACCACTGGCTCTGCCCCACAGATCTGCAAAGCAGAACTAGGGCAGCTGGAGAGTTTCCAGCTGCCAGGGAAAACCTGTGTTTGGAGGAGGGGGAGTGTAGGGTTTGTTGGATTTTTATTTTACTGTGCAGCAGTCCCTCTGGTTTTCGCCGCCTTACATAAAGTGTTTACTGAGCGGGAGGAGGGAACAGCCAACAACATGTTTTTGCATTTGTAGTACTGTACAGGGTGAACTTTTCACTTCCTCTCAATGGCTCTCACACATGTGTCTATTTTGGTGCTGGGCACACATACAAACAAGCCATGTACGGCACAGAGCCGGGGCTGTTCCCTGCTCCTGCTCCGTGCAATGGCTGGAAAACAAGGAATGGGAGGAGGGTGAGGGGGAGCTGCCCTGGGGAAATCTCAGCCCCACCGTGTTTCAGACCCTTGTTGTTTTAAACCCTTCAGCACACACATGGCGCTTGCAGGGAAGATCCGGGCCACGCTCGGGCAGCGCATCCCGCCGGCAGAGCCGCAGGCGCCGCTCCCCCGGCGGCCCCGGAGGGCTGGCGGAGAGGCAAAGTTTCGTGTGGAGCAGTAAAAAGGAAAGGCTCACCCCGCATCCGATTACGTGGGTTGCAGCACGTAGGGTTGGTGAGTGGGTAGGACTTGGCCCGAGCCAGGGGGCTTTGGGGCACTGCTGCGCGTCGTTGGTGCAAGGCTCCGTTCTTACACCCCACAACACTGTCTTGATACCGGGGGTATTTTTGGCAAGTTTGGCCAAGGTAAGGCTAGGTGGCTGTAGTAAGCAGGACTAAAAATAGCTGCTATAAAACAAACAAACAAGTTGACGATTGAAACATTCCCTTCTTTTCAAAATAACCCCATCTGGGATGGAGTTTTAATACCAAATGCCGTGACGTTTAAAGCGGTTCTGGCCGAGAACCCGCTGACTGTGCAGGAGGCCCCCGCAGCGCCGGGGCTGGCAGCCCGCCAGCACCGGGGAGGAGGTTTTCCGGGCTGGGCACGGGGGAGGCAGCGTGGGACACGTCTCAGCTGAGCTGTACCTTACGTGAGAACGCCCGTACGTGGTTTCAGAACCCGTAGAGTGAATTTCCACTGGTGCAGAGCTGGAACTGGGGCTGTGTCTGCAGATCCGGGCCAGGTTTTGGGTGGTGTGCGGCTCCAAGGACCAGGTCTGGATCCTGAAAAGCTGACTCTGATACTAGAACTCATTTATGAACAGAAACAAACACAGAACTTTTTCCCCTTAGCTTTAGCTAACACAAATTGATGGTGATACAGCTAAGATGGGGATGGATTCAAATGAATCTGTTTCCAGCCAGATGTGGCTGGACTGAAAGAGTAAAAATAAAATCATCTTGTAAATAAGATGTTGAAAATGGAAGAATTAGGCATCCGGAGCAGTAGGTCGTACAATTGTTTAAATACAATGCTGAACTGATTCCCCTGCTGGCTAGCAAAAACATGGTGTCAAGGCTCTAATCAACAGAAAATTAACATGTTGAAATGATTATGCCAGAAAATGGCAAACCAGTTCCCCTCAAGAACAGAAGTACAAACGAAAAACAAAATGATTAAAATGAATGGATTTAAATAAGGGTTTTCTGCTGGCAGAGTTAAACTGGGATTAAAATGATTTAAATCAATCCACTTTTAAGCATAAAGCAAGGGTGGTTCCTCTCATAGGGTTTTTTAAATTGAACTTAAGTTGACCATCTTAACAGCTGAGCTGCCTCTGAGCTTCATTAAACCTCCTGTTACCTACTGAACTGCTGATTGTTTCCTTCATCAACCCACCCCCGCCAAGCTTTGAAAAGATAAATGATTTCAAAGACAGAATTATTTTATTATCCCAGAGCAAGCTAATACATAATAAAAAGGAAAAAGAGTTTCAGGGCATTAAAGATACAGCTTCTGCACCAGAGAGCAGTGTCCTACCAGCTCTCGCTGTGCAGAGACAAGAGAAATGGCAATGGAGAGAAAACAGCTTCAGCCATACAGGAGGTACCTCTGGAGAAAGCCTCACCGCTCACCCCTCTCAACCCACCCAGGACAATTCTCATTCTGCTCACCCCCTAAAACCACAGCCAGGGCTGAAGAGCATTTTTGGCACGGCATCGTACCTCTGGTCTACAGAGGCCCGGCTTCAGTGGCAAAGATGTGGGCTTCCCAGCTGGGCGGGGAAGCGCCAGACGGAGTTACCGGGTTGCTCGCCCCACCACTACGCCGTGAGTCTTCCCTCCTCTGTAAAGAACAGGGGGATTCTCCGAGTTCTGTAAAACTGATCCTACCTTCCAAGTTACAGAAACGGAGCCCTGCCAGCCCGTAACACTGCAGAGGACTTAAAGGATCCTGTCATTTCTATTTACTGGCAGCTTTATGGGGGATCCCCACTCTCAACTTAAAAAAAAAAAAAACAACCAACAAGAAGCCCAGTCCCACCGATGCAGCTGTCAGCATCCTGATAAATGAGGGTGTGTTTTGAAGCCAGGCCAGAGAATGTTTTTCTTCTGCTCCCTGACAGCAGCGATCCAGACACGCTCAGCCCGAGGAGGGAGTGAATCCCAGGAGCTGCTCTATTGGCTTGTACCTCCACTCATCTGCCTCCAGCTCTTCCACCAGCCCGGCTAGTTTTTCCATCCGTGCGACTTGTTGATCTGTGAGAAGTTTAAAGGTAACTGTGGTTTGCAATGACAGCACAATTAAACCTTTCAATTAGATGCAGATTCCCAGCTGTCAATGAGGAACAGAGCAGAATAAGACCCACCAAGCCAATTTGAATACAACCCCCCTCTACACACTGCCCTATGCAAACGGCGAGAGCTCGCCAGCTCCCAGGAGGAAGCAGCAACAGGCTTTTCTGCCTCGTCCAGTGTTGAATGTGTATCTACCCATCCCTGCCCGTGCCGTGTAAATTCAAGTCCTAACAGGGAAACACGAGGCCGATTAGTGTACGGGGGCGAAAACAGGATGAAGCTCATTTCTTTAGCATAAATATTTATAGTGCAAAAGAACAGAGAAGTTGAGAGAGAGCTCGGTCAGCCCACGGTAGAGCTGGGTGCAGCACGAGGAACTCCTCATTTTAATGAAGGTCCTTTGAGGAAGAGCTGGATGACTGTACCAAGGCCCTGAAATCAGAGTGTGCTAATGATGCGAAGGTCCCCACGTTGAGGTGGGCTGCCTCCCTGGGAGCCCCAAGACAACTTGTTCCTCTCAGCTTTATTTCAAACCCGTTGTGTGCTGGGCACAGAGGCTCCATTTTCGATGAAATTAGCTGCAGTGGTACAGAGATGAGAATAGCCCTTCTTCTCTCAGCTTCACTGGAAGTTTAACAGCACTGCAGCCTCTTGGGAAAACAGCCCGGTACAAGCAGACTTACTACCAAGAGGTGTAACAAAACGTGTGTGATTTATGCTGACTGCAGCAGTGGGTGCTTCTAAGAGGGACTGTTCTCACTCCACCTCCTGCTAACATGTGCTTTTGGGAACTGTCAAACAAACAAGCCAAAAAATGATGACCTTGATCTTTTTTTTAGCCTTTCCCCTTTCTTACAGGGAAGCAACTGGTGCTCCACAAACCAGTTTCAAAGGCTGGTGCGTATCAGGGGGCCAGTCTGTGCAGCAGCCCCTGGTAGCTATGGCTGCAGTAGTGCTGGAGCTGTGGAAACAACAGCTTTCAAGTCCAGCTTTGATTTTTGGTTCGGAAATACTGGATCACGGCCTTACAAGCTGCTGCACACCCTCAGATCTCTGCCTGACAACCCGCACCGGCGGAGGACAGGAAACCTCTCTGCTCTGAGACAACATGTGGAAGTACCCGTTGTAGCTGACAAGAGGTGGGGACCAGAAAGGATGTGACCCTCAAGCAGCAGACGTGATCTGGTGCTGAGCTCTGCCCAGCGTCTTGAGAACAAAAGCTGCTGTGCAGTGAAGCCCATCGTTCAGTTACAGGCACCTGGGCGGCAGGCGAAGGCCCCAGGACGGAAGCAGAAGTTCAAACAAGACATAAAGGCACTTTCTTGGAGAGGTAGGGAGTGGAGTCAGCCACGTCACGCCATGCCAGGCACCTGCGTGTCCGTCTCCTGAGCACCTCTGGAAGCCTGGCTTGACCCTGCTGGTGTCACGAGGCCTCAGCAGAGAAACAAAGGTGGAATCGAGTGTCTTTTTGCCTGAGGCCAGAGAGACAGTCAGCGCTGGGCCAAGATCAGAGCGTGGGCGTTTCCTGCCCATAACCTCCTCTTCTGGCCTCACCTCTCGTGAAGGCAGTGCGGCACACGGCGATGGAAAAACAAGCTTCGAAAGGCACAGCCTGTTCCCACCCAGGCTGTGTGGGTTCCCGTCGCTTTGCATAGGGCTTGCAAAAGGACTCGATGATGGTCTGACTTAGCGCTAATTCGCCAACTTAAAAGGCTATTCTGCTTTTTTGTGGTTGGCACCCGAGAACATGTCAGCCTTTTCTCTGCGCTCCCCTGCCATCTTCCCTGATCAACATGCAGTTAAAATAGTCGGTCCTTACCGTGTTTGACTTGCTTTAATGTAGATGCAACCTGATAGCTGAAGACAGATTCACAGAGGAATCTTTCAGAGCCATCTGTAAACAGAAAAAGAGGTGGTTTAATCTGAGTTTTAAGACTGAGCAGCCTCAGCTGGGTGCTGCCGACCTATTTTTATGTTCAAGGTGTGGGTTTCCCCACTTGCCTCGTTCTGACACTTTCCCCTGTGCTGAGCGTGCAGTGCTACGGTCTGTGGCCTGTACAGCCCCGCATCCAAATCATGTGCAGGGCTTCAGCTGGCTCCTGGTGCCGCTGGGGAAGGACTGTGCTACCTGGGAGACATCCCAGATGATATTCTGTTACATCCCCTCTGTCAAGCAGTTTTAGTCCATTTTAAATAGAAGGTAAGCTAAGGAGAAACCAGATAATATTATGGCAGTCTCCAATTCCCTCAGGGCTCAGACGCTTGTGTCCTTATAATGCTTTATGATTTCCCAAAGGCTTAGACCATAACCCCACATAAAGGATTTCAGGTGTGTATCTTGCCATCTAAGTCAGTAATTGATACCAACATAGTTTATAATACTTCCTTCGAAAAAAAAAAACCCAAATACCTAAGGGTTTAATTAAGAACAAGTGAGATGATAGTTAAAGTAACAATAAAAATCAGTCAGTGGGGATTTTTGAAGAGGAAACTGGTATGCAGCTACCTCACTAGTATGTTCCTGACGGAAGAAAGGGTGTATCACCTTTTATCTGAGAAATTAAAAAGCAAACTTAAAGCTTCCTGCGACAAGGAGAGTGTTTAGTTGTTGCTGCCACTCACAGCAGACGAACTGCTGTGTTACTGGGAAAGAGGTCAGCCCAAAGCAAAATCTCCACACAAAAAAAGCTCCATGCCTGTGAGAGATGACAATGCCATAAGAACAAGAGAAGCAATTTCAAAGATTGAGGGTAGAAACAGACCCCTGGCCCTGGAAAATCAAAGCTGAACCCCAGATAAGAGGGAAGGGTTGGAGTTTCACTGGGCTCAGAGCATCCTCTCGCAAGCTGTCAAAAAGCTGTGTTGGTGCTGCACTGTGCTGTTTCCAAACATACCCTTCCCTCTCCTCCAACTCCCCAGCCTGGCTGTCCGGCCGACTGTCTCTCAAGAGGAACAGCTGCCTATTTGGTAATATGAAGTGCTTCATTATTTTCATTTGTTTTGAGGGCTCGTTAAGTTCTATGAGCAAGCCTTTAGTCATAATTACTTCAATAGACTGGCATATGGGCTCTAATGTGTAATAAAAACAGTCCTTAAACGACATAGCCATCAGTTCCCAGCTGCCCTGCGTTGCCATGTCATGTCTGAGCTGCAGGGCCACTCGAGCCTCATCCCAGCCACCCCAATGAACTTCAGGCTCATACGAGTCAAGCGAGCGGCACAGTGACACAGGAAGTTCAAGGGGAACAGGCAGGCAGACAGACAGACCGACCCTGGCTTAACCCTGCCATCTGGAGGACCTGCCCTTCCTCCTTCACCCAGAGCAGGGGCAGGGACATGCAGCTGTGACGTGTCTGGGTCCTCCTTCAGGCAACCCCGACGAAGCAGGTGGCAGGGCCTGGGCACCCAAATGCAAGATGCCAGGCTGGATCAGAGCCCTGGCCCATTCCTGGCAGCCCTGGAGAAACACCCTGACAAGAGTGAGCCCAAAGGTGAACACGCTCAGCCTTGAAGGATTAAAAGAGATCTAGTCCTAGTTTATCCTGTCACAGACCTCTGTGGCGAGTTTTTAACTTGGGCCAAGGGCAAAAGCAAGCCCTGTGTTTCCTGACCAGCATGGATACAAGCTGCCTCCTGTACTAGCTCAGTCAAATCCAATGCCAAACCATGTTTTGCCAAGAAAAATATTCCTGCCTCAGCTATCTTTACAGTAATTCCTGCCCAACATCAAAGGATTAGCTAACAATGAGCAATTAACATCGTCATGTTCCCTTTCAGGTAGATCGCTTCCTCGTCTGAAGTGTTGTCATGGAGCTAAAAAGCAGGTGACTGCCAGAAAAGTCATTTCCTCATGAACAACTGGTGGGAGAGCCTGGGCTGCTCAGGACCTACCCAAGCCCTGGTGCTTCCTTCCTCCCTCCAGCTTTTGCCAGCTCAAGTCCAGAAAGTCAGCAGTGTGCCAAACCTGGCAACTCCCTCGCAGGGCTGCCTGTGCACCAGGAGGGGTAGGGAAGGAGAAGGGCAGGAGCAATCACCTTCCAGCATCTCCCCAGCTCCTTTGGGGTAAGTGAAGAGGGCTTTTCGGGGCGGCGTCAGGTCCGAAACGCTGAACCCCGATCCTGTTACAGAGCTGCCACTGACTCCGCCAGCTGAAGAGGATGAGGAAGAGGCTGCCATTTCACCCCGTCCCAGCCTGGAAGAACAAAAAGGGAGCAAAGCAGAGTGAGGAAGGGCGTCTCGGGAGTTTCCCAGGGCACAAAGCCAGCGACCACGCACATATCTGGATGGAGATGAAGGCGGTGAGGTCCAGGAAGAGCCAGCAAGCACAGCTTTGGGCTGCCACCCCGCCTCCGTGGCTTCACAGCCTCAAAGTGCTGGTGGTTGAAAGCTGCCCTGCATGCGTGGGAGAGGCTGCCTGCACCCGCTGAGTGGATGGGTGCAGTTAGCTGTCGCACCACGCGGTGGCACACAGAAACTGAAGGTAACCCACGCTCCAACCCCCTCCCCCCCCACCCACCCCGGACAAGGGGGCCTGGGAATTCAGCAGGACGCTTGGAGCATGAATAAAAATAACCTGGCACAGGTCTCTGGCCTGAATTCACTGGCCTTCAGCTGCCTGGCGCTCTTCCCGCTCTCCAGGGTCATAAAAAGTCATTTTTTTCCCCACTTTTTTGCCTCATTTCCAGGAGCAAAACCAGAAAAAATCATGCTGCCTCATAAAACCTGGAAGCCTGCAGGACTGCCAGTTCCAGTGCTGCATCCTGCACAAAGCCACGCTGTGCCTTATTCACAGCAACTGCTCTCTGCATCATTCCAGATGTGCTTTTGCTTTTAAAACACTGCATTTGGTCTAAACCATCAGCAGCTGAGCTGCCCTTTGCCTGCACAGCACAAACTCCGTCGCCTCTCACATACCTTTATCTCAGCCTTGTTTTTAAGAGGTATTGGCTGTTGGATGTTTGTCACGATGGAGTACTTAAAACTCGTCACACACCTCTCTGATAATAAAAAAGCTGTCACTTGGCACTTTAAATGACAGCACTTGCTACTCCTCCAAACCACTTATAAGCGCTTTCCAATTATCCTGCCCATTTAATACGTTTCTGTTATCCTATTTAATACACTTCTGCAGACTCTTTACACTACACAGACAGTGCCTTTGGAAAGCACTCAAGGATTTGGTGGAGAAAACACGTTTTTAAAAGACTATCACAACTAGGAATTGTGTGTTCGTTCACAGTTAAGCCCAAGGTTGTTTCATTTACCCTGTGTAATACTGTAAATGCGCAGCGTCTCGGAGGCTGGGTGCTTACAGGCTCTGAAGGAAAATGCCTGCACGAAAGAAATCTTTCATATGGCTCCGATACATCCAGCAACACCTTCCTCAACAGAGCTGGGCAGGCCCGGCTCCCCGCTCATAAGGGAAGCGGGATGGTTTGTGCTGAAATGTCTTCAACAGGGGCTCGAAAACCTGCTGTATTCCTAGGTATAGGTGCAGGATTTTTATTTTAAATCGGCAGAGGCGAACACGGAAGGGGGCCGCCAGGCCGACGCCTGTACCCCACCGGCGACCCCCAGGCCTGAGGCGCTGGGGGGCAGAGGAGCGGTTTTACCGCACTGCGCATGCGCCGCCGCTTGCCCACACTCCCGCCGGAGGGGGGCGGCAGCCTCGGTGGTGCCACGGCGCATGCGCGGCCCCGCCCCGCGCCCCACCCTACCCCGCCCCCTCGCGCCATAGCCCCTCCCCGGCTTCCGTAGCGAGCTGCTTCCCGGTGA